TATGATATCAATCTGTTTGACCAGATGTTGTGTGTTATTCCCACCAAATCCCACCCACCCCCCCTCCCACACACACACACCCCCCGTCCCATCTTCCTTCTCATACACTCCGTCCTCCTGTCTCTCCCTCCCACCCTCCTACCCACCCACATAAGGCAGATCAAAGCATAGAATCTCCTCTTGTTTTCTATGATTCTCCATCCTCACCACACTCGTGCCAATATTCACTTGTATGCTTTCCCCCTCCCCTAACGCACTCACTTACCCTCCAACACACTTATCCTCCCACACACTTATCCTCCCACACACTTATCCTCCCACACACTTATCCTCCCACACACTTATCCTCCCACACACTTATCCTCCCACACACTTATCCTCCCACACACTTATCCCCACACACTTATCCTCCCACACACTTATCCTCCCACACTTCCCCACACTTATCCTTCCACACACTTATCCTCCACACTTATCCTCCCACACACTATCTTCCCACACACTTATCCTCCCACACACACATATCTTCCCACACACTTATCCTCCCACACACTCTATCCTCCCACACACTCATCCTCCCACACACTTATCCTCCCACACTTATCCTCCCACACACTTATCTTCCTGCCACACACTTATCCTCCCACATACTTATCTTCCCCCACACTTATCCTCCCCCACCTCTATCCTCCCACACACGTATCCTCACGATCCCACACACTGATCCTCCCACACACTTACCCTCCCACACACTTACCCTCTCCCCCCCCCTCCCACAGTCATTATGGTCGTCGTAACTCAAGTACAGAGCCGCGAGAGTTGGTGTATGGATTCAGCTTGCAACGTTAGGTGAAAGGGTCAGTGAAAGAAGTTTTATATCAATTAGCTAAAGCATAATACACTACAGCTAGATACAAAGAGTGAGATAAAGCTAGATACGTACCGCTAATTTGCAGCTAAATATAAACAAGCTTACATTTGACCTTTTTCTTAGTGATGTGTGTGTGTGTGTGTGTGTGTGTGTGTGTGTGTGTGTGTGTGTGTGTGTGTGTGACGCTACACCACGACTAGTGGCCTTTGTCCAGGTGGTCGCCTCGTGTGTGGTGGATATTCCTTAATGAGGCAAAGATTTATAAAAACGGGCGTTGTCAGTAAGGCTGTTTATCCCCCCCACACACACACCTCGCAGGCTGGACAGATGGTTGAAGATCATAACATCAGGTGGGATTATGTCCTCTACGAACTCACAGTATGAGGTGGAAATTTATCGCCTCCATCAGCTATCAGACCACTAAGAGGACTTTTGAATCTCTCTTCCTTCGTGTAGCCTTCTGTGGATGTGTTGTTTACTTCTGACGAAGGAAGTTTTCTCGTGTGCACCTTCTGCTCGAATTCGTACTGTGTTGTGGTTGTTGGGAGCAGAACCAAGGAGTGGCAGGAGAAGGCTGGGAAGGTCAGTCCGACGTTGTTTTCAAAAGCATCAGTGTGTTGGGGGATGCTGGTGATGTTGAGAGTCCATCATGCTGTCCTTATATTATGTTACAGACGCTATGTCCCGGGGTTGAACGGCGGCCCCAGAGAGCATTGTTAGAAATGTCAGTCATCATGACGTGCAGAAGTTGACCAGTTTGCCATAGTATTGTTCCCGGAGCGCCTCTATTCTCACGCGGTGGAGACAACCTCAAGGGTGATCTGTAGGATTTGATGTATAACGTTTGTTTCCAGACGCCTGTGAGGTGACAGTAATAATATGAACCAATGACACAGCACTAAGATCCAGTATGAGACATAAATTCACTTGACCTCCAAGGGCTCCAAGTTATTAAGCGTTGCAAGGAGACAGACTAAAAATATCAAGAGGAGGAAGTGGCCTTTAAGAGGACGTAAACAAGCACGGAAGATGAGGACGACACATCCATAGTGGGAGCGGAAGTGTTGTGGTGGAGGAGGAGAAACATATGGCCAGGGTGAGGTCGACCAGACTCATGTTAATGAAGACCAAGTAAGATGCCGCTACCAGGCTGACTATACTGCTGCCGCCACCACCACCACTTACACCACCCACACCACCACCACCACCACCACCACCCACACCACCACCACCACCACCACTTACACCACCACCACCACTTACACCACCACCACCACCACCCACACCACCACCACCCACACCACCACCACCACATCACAATTACTATTGTTTTGACTAAGATAATCATTATCACGATCACTACGACTGTTATCACCTCTCGTAGAGTAAAACATCACCATCACTACAACCAAAACCACCGTCACTCATCACCACCACTATCTATACGACCACAACCTCTCTCGTTCCCACCAGATGGGCGGAAGTATGAGGGACAAGAGGTGGGTGGGCACGGAAGAGTCGGGGGTGTTGTGGGCGGCATGGCCACAACACTGGTAGCACCGCCCCTCCTCACCGCCCCGGACACCATCTGACTCTTCGCCTTCAGTCTGTGGTGCACCCCGCCACGCTCCTGTCGCGTCTCCCGCTTCCCCGTTCTCACACTACTGCGCGACCACTGTTCCCCTCACACGTCCTCAACACTCTCGTCGCAACAGAGGACTATGAAATATCGTTGTGTTGTGGAAAGTCGGATACTGGAAGTACAGTATTAGGTGTTAGTCATTAGTGAAGCGTTCAGTGAAATGTTGATTTGTTACGAAAAATATTCCAGACTAGTGTCTAACTATTGTAAGGTCCTCATGGAGTTGTTAAGATGAGTGGACACGACTCAGTTGGTGCAGGGTCTTGTGGGGATTGTTGTGGGATCTTGCCCACAGTCCACCTCCTGCACAGCCATGGTGCACGTGTTCTGCTGACTGTAGAGCACTACAGCGGGTCCCGAGGAGTCTTGACAAGGTTGCCTTTCTATCGAAGTTAGTTTCGAGAGGTGAAAGATTACGCTTGTCACTATGGCGGTGTCAGATCAAGAGATTGACCAGCTGTATGCAGCGCGATACCGTCTTGACCAACTGTTCCAGAACAGTCCTGAATTTCAGGACAGCCTTGAGAACAGCAGTGCTGCCAATTCCCCGTCCGGACAGTCCCGTAAATCACAAAGATCTGAAAAATCTCACAGATCTCATAGGTCTCATGATCAGACCAGGACGTCCAGACAGAAAGGTGATCATCACTCTTCTAGACATGACAGCGGTCATTCTCCCAGGGGATCACCACACCGCAGGGAAGACAGTAGAAGACACAAGCACTCGCCGGCAGCTTCATCCCCCCGATGGCCCCAGCAAGACGGTGTACCTAAGAGTAACAGCGGCAGCAACACGCCTAAGGACGAGACCGTCCTCGTCCGGCGACCTCAGCCCCTGATGCAACCTGGTTTTTCCTATTTATACCCCAACGTTGACGGCAATGCACCCATCGAGAAAATCCCAGTTCGACGCTACTCATTCCTCGGACCATCGACGAAGCACATCACCGACACAGCACTACCCTTTAAAGGAAAATTGGAATACTTCGATCGTCTCTCGAGGGGGTCGACGCCAGAGCCCACTACTCCGTTTTCTTATGGTCACAAAAAGGTTAGTTCTCCCCTCAGACCAACCCCCCTCATTCATCATATCGAGAATAAGAGCACACAACATACAGAGGGAAATTCCACGAGATTCGAGCCAGCTAGACCAACGTCGCTTGCTAAGCTCCAGCTCAAACATCCGGACTCTCTTGCGTCAAGACACAGTCAAGCTTTAGAAAGGAACATTCAACAATCAGGTAACACACCTAATAGAAGCCCGGCCGATCTCCATGTTATCAGATCTGCGACTCCTCCGCAGATGCTGTCCGAGGAAAGACTTTCACGGAAAAATAGGAGTCCATCAGAGCCCAGGAAAATAGAATCTTCACCAAGCGAGCCTTTGCCCGTTCATCGGCGTCACTCGGCGTTGCAGTCAAGTGACAAGGAGAACAGAGGGATATCATACATGAGCCCAGTTCCATTCGCCAAATTGACAGTCTACAAAGACTACTTTGGGGAGGACCAGGCTAGTGACGGCACAGGTAACATGAGTAGAATAAGCAGCTTTGCGGAAATAAAGAAAAATGAACAAATGAATTCTAGACACCAAGAAGATGATGATATGAGTCGAAGTTTCAGCGCCTCTATAGAAATTGACCCTGAAACTGGGAGGAGACATTTAGAGAGGATGGCGAGTGGGTCCTCGGAGGGAAACTCGCCGTCAGTGTCTAAAAGTAAACTACAGCGTCATGTAAGCAGTCCCGCCATTCACATTAGCCGAAAAAGTCTTGCAGTTGGTCAGTCTAAAATCAGCGATTCAGTGAACCAAATTACAGACTCCATGTCTCAGTTGAGGAGGAGCTTAAGTAAGAGAGTCGGCAGGTCAGTTAGTCGGTCTATTAGTAAGTCTATCAGCAGATCTCTGGCCAAGAAGTACAAACGACAGTACAACGACGAGCTTAACGACGATGACCAGGAGACTTCATCACACGAGGAACAGAAAAAGAAACCAACACGACCAAGTCTCTCCGACACTTTCAGCACTTTGAAGAGGAGTCACGCATTCAACCACAGCGGGAAGCACTACCAGATGCTCTTTGGCGACACGGGAGACAAGGATCAAAGAGGCGGTAAAGATCAAGGATCCAAAAACTTATCAGATATTCATCGATTTTTTCATAGTCAGGATACCGAGGGAGACTCAAAGTCCCAGAAGTCACATAAATCATCCTCGCTGCCGCACCCCATCGACGCCTCCGTCAGGGAGGAGGTGTCCCTGCGTGAGAAACACCCCGAAAAGTTCTGGACCTTTACCACCAGTGTTGTGCTTCCTGACTATGAACCCAAGCAAGGTAGGGTCGTATGAAACGGCAACTTCCTGGTTTATTATCTACATACGTGCAGCCACACATAAGACTTAACTATGTGGCAGAAACACAAACTTCTCTCTCACCATTGTTACCTTCCCACAAGACCTTCCTTGTGTAGTTTGGTACACTACTGCTTCAGGTTTAAGGTTTTCTAAAACGAAGATAAATTTATCAACTCTCTACCTGTATGTTCACCTTCACAATTTTATAAACAGCAGCATATTTTAGTTAAAGACGCATATAAATAAATAAATAAATAAATAAATAAATAAATAAATAAATAAATAAATAAATAAATAAATATAATATTATTATTTTTTTTTGGGGTTATCTTAAAAGCAAACGTTAAACGTTTCGAAAAAATATAATGTAAATTAAATACTTCCAAATAACATAATTAGAACACTTATTAATCTAAAACTTTATTTAAGCTTTCAAATACTCTGCCAAGTTATTCAACCGCTTAGTTTAAAGTAAAACTCGGGACTTAACCTCACGTTGCCACCTGAACCAAGACACACCAGCCAGCGAGTACATAGTCTCCCGCACGAGTGACTGACTGTTGGGTAAATAACGCTTTTAAGTACCAGCCGCCAGCCTGTACAATGACCGCCTCAACCCTTGAATATGATAATAACGTGCTGGACGGGACTCCCTTGGTGCTCTGTGGTGAAGGTACTTCCCAGGTGCTATATATTGTGAGACCACTCCTAATTCTGTGCACTGTAGAATCACTTTCCTTTTGCTGTAAGGTTGCTGTATTATGAATTCACTTTCCTAATGCTGTGGGTTATCAGGGAACTTTCCTTCAGGTTAATGATTATGAATTGCCACGATACTTCCCCAGTGCGGGATATAGCGGTAGGAGTGGATATAGCAATAACATCCTTTCTAAGAACTGTTGGTTCGATCCCGGGGCTTTCCCAGTCCACCCAGCTGTATTTGGATACCTAACTACAGGTATGTGAAGTTAAGTGCCGGCCACGTTACCTCCATGCCTACCAAAGGCTTAGTATACTGTGTGGTGAAATCCACATTGTCCTTATTGGGACCCAATCTTACATGCTCTACGGTCACTTCGCTTGACCCGTGGTACTGGTAGACAGTGACCAAGCAGTTGCCCTCTCCATCAACACCGCCGCCACTTCCTGCTGCATCACTACCCGGGAATATAACCCAGTAAGGCTTGATTTTTTTTTACCCTCAATATTAACCTATGGGGCGATATCATACCCCCTTTAACTGTGAATAATGGAGTGTTGGTGACGGGTGTTGGACACTTTTATCACTTTAGGACCTGTTTAGAATCCTTATTTTAGGGGGATTCTTTTACGACAGACCTCCATAAAATATCACGGTGTGAAGGTGTGGAACAACTTACCCCCACGCATACGAGCAAAGACTACGCTCCCTTCCTTTAAATCATCTCCTAAAAATATCTATTGTCCAAGTATTAATATTTCTTGTAATACCTACAGTACCTGCTTTTATTGTACCATCAAAACCGCAAAACCGTTTTATCAGAAATTATCATGTAAATAGATAAGAAATTACCATTGCAATAAATATATTTGCCAACTAGACATAATCCTGACAGCTCTGTCCTCTTGTTCAACCTTAATACTGTACAACCCATGTTGTACTGCTTCCCCATTATATTTATGTTTTTTAATTCCACTGTAATTTATTTATAAACTTATAATAAAAAAAAATAAATAAATAAATAAAAAAAATATATATCTCAGTGATAACCGTGGTAACATCGCTATGTTCTTATTACCACCATGCTATCGTACTATTCCAGTTGTTACTAAATGTTACATAATACTTCCTCGAGATAAATGTACAATATAAATCAGGTACCTTCAAGAGAGCTCAGGTTCTCAACTGGCTCAGCCATGTTAATATTGTTATTATTATCCACTCTGTAAGGGTATTTTTCTGGCTAAAAAACTGTTTCAATTAAATTTAATTCAACATTTGCGACATCTAAGACATTATAAACACCTCTTGGACATTTTGTAAGTTACTTTTAGAAGATTTTTAAGGGAAACATGAACTATTATAGTTATTGTATTCTTAAGACATTCTTGGGCCATTGTAAAGTCATTGTATCTCCACAGCATGAGAAAGTTTGAATTTTATGCTTGAGAGAGAGAGAGAGAGAGAGAGACTATGATTGTATAATGTCTACAGTAAGATTACCAACATTGTCTGGTCAATATGTCTCAGAGGCTATATTACGCACATGGCCCATCAGCAGTAGTTGCATCTCTATTATACACAGTCTGACAAAATTAGAGTCACCACAGTATGTAAGACCTCAAGTTTCTGGCAAGTTGTACCAGTATTTATTAACTAAACCAACCTGGACTTAGAAACACCTGTCTTCCTGATTGCATGTCACATTTTGCCATCGTCATATAAAAGCATAAACGAGGACATCCAGATACCTGTCAAAGCCAAGCCTCATTGAGTGGCTGTTTGACATGTGTTCTGGGAGCTTATTCATTGTATATGTTAATCATAGTTTTCTGTTTATTGTTTTATACATAAGATATAATGCAAACAATGATATTTAAAACCAAACATCTTACACTTCTGAACATAAAACTCAGGTTACCAGTATCTCCCATGCCATATGCGTTATATAAATTACCAATGTTAATAGCAGGTTCCTCTTTATCAGTGTTTACCAAAATGAAATCTTAAACTTAAAGGGCTGTTGTGATATTTGTTTTTGCTAAATGTACACTACAGCCACATACTCCACGTCCTACACCTACAGGCTCTACACCCACCTACACCACACCCACCTACACCACACCCACCTACACCACACCCACCTACACCACACCCACCTACCACACTACACCCACCTACACTCACACCCACCTACACCACACCCACCTACACCACACCCACCTACACCACACCCACCTACACTACACCCACCTACACTACACCCACCTACACCACACCCACCTACACCACACCCACCTACACCACACCCACCTACACCACACCCACCTACACCACACCCACGTACACCACACCCACCTACACCACACCCACCTACACTACACCAACCTACATCTCACATAGTACACTGTGGGAGCGATGGTAAACGTCTCCACACAAACAATAGATCCTCTTGTGTCCACATGTAGAAGCCTGGGTGGTGCTAGGAGGGTGCCAGGCCTGCTCATGTTGGTGAAGAAAGTGAGATAGAGAAATGGAGGGAAAGTTAAATGTATAGGTAGCTAACAAGAAAGACGCAGGTAGATACATTGACAACCACTGTCACTGCTGCTCCACACCGGCGACCAGGTCATAAAAGTCACGTTCTTCCGAGACATTTTTTCCCCCCTGTGTGTTCTTCTTTTCTTTTCTGCACAAGTCATTGTTTATCTTCTCTATACAGACATTACGGTGTTGGGGTGGCCACAGGACGCGTCAGCTGCGGCTTGTATACCACGATACATTAACTACACCCGTGATTTGTATAAACCCGTTGTCTCAGCCGCTCGCATTTCCATGTTGTTACTTCTTATCATCCTTTCAAAACTGTTTACGATGTTCATTCAGGGTTTATATGAAGTAAACTTAGAATTTATTTGTTCCTTGATGTTCACTTGGTATCCTTGTGCTACCTGTCTTGTGCAGTGTATAGGTATTAACAGCTACTGGACTCTAGTCTTAAATTGGCTTCGGTCATGGATATTGAGGGTTAGAAAGTCCTTATGTCAGGTCTTCGTTGTGTCTTGTAAATGTGAAATCCGTACTAAGGTTAATACTCCTTAAACCTGTGCTTGGTGTTCTCTCGCTGGCTCTTGTGTAGTATTTACATTTAATAGCTACTTAACATCTACACACTGACTTGTGTATACCGGGGTGCTGAACCATGACGCAGCTCTCGCCACTGTAATCATCTCATTTTGTTCTCAGTTAGCTACACCATATGGCAGGTATCCGTTTTCTCTCACTCGGGGACGGTATGAGAGAAAATGGGAAGCCTAGCAGGGGCCGTTGGCTTGTGTGTGAGGCGTCAGCTGCATAAGTATCGGCTAACTGTATCAGATATCTTCCTGACAGGTTTAATGAACTGGGGAATTACTGTCACACGCCCACCTTACCTGTATAACGGTACTGGCATACTTTAATTACACTCGCAAATTGATTTCCCAGTGAAGCGTGTATAGTTGTAATTCATCGGTATTTTGGGAAACAGAAATATAGTGTATTGATGCCATCGTGGTCACAAACATGAGGGCCGGTTGAGGTACAGTTTGGAGGGTGCGGCCGTACGGGAATTGTGTTTGTGGCCACAAGAGGCCATTATACGACCCCAGGTGTCACCTGGTAGACGAACTCTGAATTTATCCTTCAGAAGGCCTGGGATATATTTGTGTACAAGCATGATAGTAGATTGTTGCACTTTAGATTTAAGATAAATTTCGACCATTCTTAATCGGCTATTGACACATAACTGTCCTCCAGGGGGCACCGTGGCTACCACTCACGACTCTCCGTACTTTTTTGTCTACCTAGACACTCCTTGATACAAGACCTCTAATGACATACTGTACAGTCATCTTGGCTTTAATGGCATATTATTATACATTCACACACACACACACACACACACACACACATACATACATATATATATATATATATATATATATATATATATATATATATATATATATATATATATATATATATATATATATATATATATATATATAACAGTAAACATGCACTCAAGCGCGCACAGCATCACCAAGAACAAGTTTATTCATCATCAAACATTGAAGTGTTTCCGGTAATTACGTTGGGCATTTTAATATCACAGCAAGACTGACTAATGAATCTGATATTAAATGTTGTAAACAATAACCATATCTATTAATACGAGAAATAAGGAAACAATGTCTGTATGTACAGTATGTATGTATACATACATACAGTACATACAG